GATGTATATTTTACCATGAAGCGTGTTCTTCCCGTCATTAGCAACTAGTTTATATAGAGTTCCATTCAAAGTAAATTGAGCACCAGCAATTCTATTGGCAACTCGTCCCACGGTGGCTCCAAAGTTTGATGAATCATTCTGCACAACGTTATCAATCCGATATTTATGAATTGAAAACAAAGAAAATCAAAGTGGCAACTTTTAGAGCATAACTACTAAAAAAAACTGTAGTTTCAGCTTTTGAATTAAAATAGTTTTTTAAGGTTTAATGACCAAAACTATTTTCATGATCTCACCAACCATTTAAACTAGTTCTTTTACAATGGCAATAAAGCATAGGATGAAGTGCAATAACAAACAAATTAGTTTCTTCGAGATATATTTAAGAAAATGGATTTTCTTTTAAACGTAAATAAAACATCATTAAGAAATCCACTGCTAAAAGCATCTTTCACTCGTATATCTCGAAGAGCCAGCAAATTAATCTGCTACCGATATGTTTTCTTTTCTTTTTTCTTTTTTCTTTTTTCTTTTTTTTGTCCTTGACAATGTTTTGACCACTAACATCCAATGACTGTTCATACTAAAAAGAATCAGTCAAGAATTTCATAGAGATAATTCGTTGCATGTGGAAAAGCAATTAAAGAAATTGATTTAATGACTGTTATAGACATGAAAATATTTACATGGATGATGCTGGAAAAATTAAAAGTAAAAAGAAAAGTGATTATTCTTTCTAAACAAGTTACAGATGAAATCCATCACAGCAATACAATAGCCAAAAAAAAAAATCAAAAGTAATATAATTAATGTGTTCGTTGAAGTCAAATATATCCCACGGAGTCAAAGGAAAAAGCACATGCTGAGACTCAATAATGCAGTTCCCAAGATAAAGATTTGACTGTTGAATTTAACCAAGAGATGATACACATCTAATATATGTCACATGGTATTATTCTCTGCGTTGTCGTATGAACATGCATCAACCTATGATATTTAATAAATGCAGCACGAGATAAGACGAAGAGGGGCCGGTACTGTAAGAAGAATCAGACAAGTGTGAACAGACACGACAAAGTTTTTTTTGAAGTGATAAATATGAAGTATAATAATAATAATAATAATTTATCAGACTATCGAGAAGAAACATATTTGAGTACGACAAATTATACAGCTAGCTGATTTAACCCAATGGAATTTTAATAACTTTTTTTGCGCTGCTAGTCGTGGTCCTGCCGAAGAACCCATCTGAGTGCCATTGGCTTGAAAGAGAAAGACACAAATTGAACAATCAACAATGTGGGTCAATTTGTAAAAGAATGAGAAATCATATACCTTCATAAAACCAAAGCAAAAACGAGGAAAAGAAAGAACAAGAAGAACAAATCTCACCTTGTATTCCTTAATAGTATCATAGCCAAGGACAATATCAGCTAACTTTCCTGTTTTAATTTGTTAATTAACACAAAAGAAAGAAACAAAACTTTAGCATGAGAACTCATCTTCTTGAACCTGAAATGCAATGTCATACGTTCCCAAAATAAGGAATTAACAAATAACTTTCAAGAAATAAATAATGGATGAAGAAAAACTGTACCGTATTTATCAGGGAGAAGAAGGGAGATAATATGTGCGCCATAATTGGTAAGTTTCATAGAGAAATTTCCTTTCTTGAGCTCATACATCCCAATCTCTTCCTTTGTTGCAGAGCCAATAGCTGGAAACCCGAAAATCAGCAGCAGGCTAAAACATAACAACACAGAAAACTTGGCCATCTTTTCCACTCAGTTATGAGATATGTTTGGGCTTTATGTATCAGAAGTTATGTGTCCTAATATGGTCTGACTTATCATATGCTTTATAAGAGAGTTGTATGGGTGTGCAATGAAAATTTGAAACTGATAATATGGTATACAACAGCACTCTTCTTCTCAGTTTGCTCCTTCAATGATAGCCGGCTGTGTTGACAAGGTAAAGCGACAAGCGTGACAAGATTCTTGATTTTTCCAGCTAGGGCCCCCATGTATATATATATATATGTATATATGTATGGACCCATTTATTTCTAGATGGAGAGCGAGAGAGGTGTGTATACATAGTTATACACTAGATAGTTTCCCGAGTTACCACGGGTAGCTTTTTGGCAACTCGATCTAGCCTCACTGGTATGCAAGGTAGGTATTTATAAACATATGATAAATGTTATTTTTTAAATAATTTTTACTTAAATATGTATTAAAAAAATATTTTTAAAAATATTTTTTATATTAGTATATCAAAACAATATAAAAATATAAAAAAATAAAATAAATTTTATTTTTTTAAAAAAATACTTTTAAAACACAAGAATAAATAATATTTTAATTCCAACCTTGTTAGATTTTAAACTAATTTGACATCTTTTGAAAATGTATTTCAAAAAAAAAATGTCAATTGATTATTACTTAAAAGTATATTTTTATCAAGGTTTGATATTATTATTTTACACTTGAAGTATCAATAACTCCTTAACTAAAACGTGTTTTATAATAACATATCTAATAATATAAATGACACAACTAAAAGATTGATGTCTTCTTCTAAGTATAGGAGTGTTGAAGTAATAAATAATCCGGCAAGACTGGGTTGAACCACAGGGAGGTTAATTATATAAATTATATATAACAATAATACAACAACAATAATAACAACAACAACAATAATAATAATACTAGTAGTAGTAGTAGTAGTAATAGTAATAATAATAGTAATAGTAGTAGTAATAATAATAACAATAACAATAATACTAAATAGAAGAAGAAGAAGAAGAAGAAGAAGAAGAAGAAGAAGAAGAAGAAGAAGTTGATAAGAACTTTGAGATGGAAAGATTAACGTAAGGATTAAACAATGATAACAATAAATGTCAAAGTTAGAGAATCCACTAATGGTATGTCAAACAAGTATAGTATAAACTCTTATTACTCAATTGGAAACCACACACAAAGAAGATTCTAATCAGATTATAAATTGTTAAAATGATTATATTAGTCATCTTATTCGATTAATGTTAATACTTGTAAATTTAGTCAGGTATTCATGATTATAACTTATATTAACAACAAATCAAGTTCCTTTCATAACTCAGGTGTCAGTTATACCATACAGTATAGGCTATGAGAGTGTCAAGTATTTGTTGTACCAAATGTTATACAACATAAATCTAGATTAGTTATCTAACAAGCAAAGTATTAAAGAGTGAATAAGATAAAAATACAAAACATGTTAGTATCAAATATTAAAGTCCATATTAAGTTTACACTATACTTATTCTTACACCATTATTGTAACCTTTTCACCTTGATATAATAAACTTAGTTAAACATAATAAAAGAAAGAAAAATAAATAAACAAAATAGAAACATAAATAAGATAAAAGTTAGCTAAGTAAAGGAAAGGAATTGAAAAGCATAAACTTGATATTAGTGAAAGCAAAACTTAAGCATTACAAAAATATAAAGAGAGAAAGCAAGAGAATGATCTTGATCTGGAAACCAAGATGCCTAAATGTAGGCAAATGCCTCATTTTATAGGCCAAAATTAGAAATTATTGATTTGATGACTAATTGATGAGTAGGTGGTCAACTCTTGACTTAGTGACAATCCTTATCTTCTCTTTTCTTTCCAACATATCATTGATAAAGTCAGAATTAAAACTAATTGAAAACATGAAAATTATAGAAAATTTTCTCATCTTTCCAGGAAAAAAAAAATTGAGGTCATTTGACTCCTAGAACTCTAGATATGGGCTAAATATTGAACAGTGCGCGAGTTGGAGGACAAATTCAAACTTTTTTGTTGTTGCTATAATTTGGACTTGGAAATGACCTTTTTAAATCTTGGGCTCCATATGAAAGTTGTAGGCCTATGCCTTATCTTTCCATCCATATAAAATAGACCTAAATCTGAGATCTATAGCTCCAGATATGATCCAATTGCAGAACAGTGTTCTGGTTTGAACTGCACCAACATCTCTTTTCTATGTTTGGCCATCTCTTTGTCCATTCAATTTCAGTTCTTAAATCCATCAAGCAATCCTTTCATTTATGTGATATGCCTGCATTTTAAATGAATATTTACCACAAATTAAAGGTATCTTATATTATTAGACATGTTATTATAAAAAAATATTTTAATTAAGGAGTTATTAATACTTCAAGTACAAAATGATGATATAAAACCTTGATAAAAATACACTTTTAAGTACTAATCACACCCCCCAATCAGCTTTTTCTTCTTTTTCTTTATTATTATTCTTATTATTATTATTATTATTATTATTGAATAAACAAAATAACAATGAAATGGACTCAAATGGGCTTAGTCTCTCAATCAAAGCATGACAGACAGAACCATCCTATATCATTTCCGTCCATATACTTGTATAGTTTACAGTGTGGATTTGGTGTCCCCACCAAAACCTCCAACATGTGGCAGGATTTATTATCCTATGCATCTTAACAGGGTTGAGTTCATAAAAACAGATGATGTAAGAGGATTGCTCATGCTCTGTTGTCTTCCATATTTAAGATAGCAATATTAATAAAATTAGGAATGAATTAAAGAATATTCCAATTGGTCTCTATATTGCTTGTTATTAGAACAATAATAGTCTTAACCGTTAGAGATTCAAAAAAAATAAAAATTCCATATCAAAATTTATACATGCGGTGATAGCATATATAAATATAACTGTTCTTATTGATATGTTTTTCTAGCCAAATTATCTAGCTTCGCCACTACAAAGTGGGTTGAACATGCTGTTGGACTCAACCTGTAGTTTCCAAAGCAACACGCTAGATCCTCCAATCAAAAGGAGCAGGTTCTAAAAGTTAAATGCTTGGAATATATTCGAAGCTCTATCTCAAACCTGAGGTTTAAATTTCTGGCACATTCCTTTAGGGGTGGCGAACCTAAAAATAGCTCAACCGCAATTACTTCCATGAAGCGAAAAGCACCTTCAGTACTGAAAGGTGGCCAAGAAGATTGTTTAATATATATGGAGTATTCAACATCTCTGCACTCTGCAGCAATTATTGATTTCATTGAGCAACATAAGCACATGACTTTAGATGATAGAAAGTACAAATGACCTCCAATTTCGAAACTATGCCAAAAGCACTCTGAAAACACACAATCATCTTGCTTTTTTCATGTGAAAGTTTGGTGTCTCGAATTATCTAGAAATTCGAAAACTTAATCAACATCTGATGCTTATAGTACGTCCCTGGATTCACAATCTGTGAAGGGAAGTTGGGTTGATTTACTGAATCAGGAAATCCTTGAGTCTCTAGACAAAGAGCTCCATGAGGTTCGTACACGAATCCACCTTTTCCCTTCTGGTACAAAGTGTTGCTTGTGTAGAACTGCACACCTGGTTGATTTGTTAATATCTCCATCATTCTTCCAGACTTCTTATCATGCACAATTGCTGCTTTCTTCAACTTGTCGTTTCCACTTCCATCAAGTGCATAGTTGATGTCATAGCCATTAGTGAGCTTGTTGATCTTGCTTCCGATGGTGTTGGGTTTGAGAAAATCATAGGGTGTTCCTTTCACTGTCACAATCTCTCCTGTAGGAATGAGTTCGCTGTCAACAGGAGTGTAGTGCGAAGCGAAGATCTGAATTTCCTCTGACAATATATCACCACTATTGTGTCCACCAAGGTTCCAATAGGCATGGTTAACTAGATTAACTGGAGTGGCCTTTTTTAGAGCTTTTGCTTTCATTGTTATACGCAATTTGTTGTCTCCAAGGAGCTTGTATCCCACAATTACATGGAGATCACCGGGGAATCCTGTGTATATGAAAAATGTATTCATAACTTTAATTTCTGTTGGAGGTGTCATTTATGCTCATGCAAATATATGTGTTGAGCCTGTAGCTAGTGTGAAAAATTATGGCTTGAAAGACTATGCTGACCTTCTTCACCATCAAAGCTGTGATAGGCAAAGACAATGAAAGGTTTACGTCCTTCAGGGCTGTACTTTTTCACTTTCCAAACAACCTTACTAAATCCTTTAGGGCCACCTGATATCCATGTAAGCAATTAGTGCCAAAAAACAAAGAGAAAAGATATATATCTCTTCAATTCAAGTTGATAGAAAATTAATCAATATGGGGAAAAATTCTACTTTGCTAGCGAAGGTGTAGTAAGATGTATATTTTACCATGAAGCGTGTTCTTCCCGTCATTAGCAACTAGTTTATATAGAGTTCCATTCAAAGTAAATTGAGCACCAGCAATTCTATTGGCAACTCGTCCCACGGTGGCTCCAAAGTTTGATGAATCATTCTGCACAACGTTATCAATCCGATATTTATGAATTGAAAACAAAGAAAATCAAAGTGGCAACTTTTAGAGCATGACTACTAAAAAAAACTGTAGTTTCAGCTTTTGAATTAAAATAGTTTTTTAAGGTTTAATGACCAAAACTATTTTCATGATCTCACCAACCATTTAAACTAGTTCTTTTACAATGGCAATAAAGCATAGGATGAAGTGCAATAACAAACAAATTAGTTTCTTCGAGATATATTTAAGAAAATGGATTTTCTTTTAAACGTAAATAAAACATCATTAAGAAATCCACTGCTAAAAGCATCTTTCACTCGTATATCTCGAAGAGCCAGCAAATTAATCTGCTACCGATATGTTTTCTTTTCTTTTTTCTTTTTTCTTTTTTTTGTCCTTGACAATGTTTTGACCACTAACATCCAATGACTGTTCATACTAAAAAGAATCAGTCAAGAATTTCATAGAGATAATTCGTTGCATGTGGAAAAGCAATTAAAGAAATTGATTTAATGACTGTTATAGACATGAAAATATTTACATGGATGATGCTGGAAAAATTAAAAGTAAAAAGAAAAGTGATTATTCTTTCTAAACAAGTTACAGATGAAATCCATCACAGCAATACAATAGCCAAAAAAAAAAATCAAAAGTAATATAATTAATGTGTTCGTTGAAGTCAAATATATCCCACGGAATTTCATAGAGATAATTCGTTGCATGTGGAAAAGCAATTAAAGAAATTGATTTAATGACTGTTATAGACATGAAAATATTTACATGGATGATGCTGGAAAAATTAAAAGTAAAAAGAAAAGTGATTATTCTTTCTAAACAAGTTACAGATGAAATCCATCACAGCAATACAATAGCCAAAAAAAAAAATCAAAAGTAATATAATTAATGTGTTCGTTGAAGTCAAATATATCCCACGGAGTCAAAGGAAAAACCACATGCTGAGACTCAATAATGCAGTTCCCAAGATAAAGATTTGACTGTTGAATTTAACCAAGAGATGATACACATCTAATATATGTCACATGGTATTATTCTCTGCGTTGTCGTATGAACATGCATCAACCTATGATATTTAATAAATGCAGCACGAGATAAGACGAAGAGGGGCCGGTACTGTAAGAAGAATCAGACAAGTGTGAACAGACACGACAAAGTTTTTTTTGAAGTGATAAATATGAAGTATAATAATAATAATAATAATTTATCAGACTATCGAGAAGAAACATATTTGAGTACGACAAATTATACAGCTAGCTGATTTAACCCAATGGAATTTTAATAACTTTTTTGGCGCTGCTAGTCGTGGTCCTGCAGAAGAACCCATCTGAGTGCCATTGGCTTGAAAGAGAAAGACACAAATTGAACAATCAACAATGTGGGTCAATTTGTAAAAGAATGAGAAATCATATACCTTCATAAAACCAAAGCAAAAACGAGGAAAAGAAAGAACAAGAAGAACAAATCTCACCTTGTATTCCTTAATAGTATCATAGCCAAGGACAATATCAGCTAACTTTCCTGTTTTAATTTGTTAATTAAGACAAAAGAAAGAAACAAAACTTTAGCATGAGAACTCATCTTCTTGAACCTGAAATGCAATGTCATACGTTCCCAAAATAAGGAATTAACAAATAACTTTCAAGAAATAAATAATGGATGAAGAAAAACTGTACCGTATTTATCAGGGAGAAGAAGGGAGATAATATGTGCGCCATAATTGGTAAGTTTCATAGAGAAATTTCCTTTCTTGAGCTCATACATCCCAATCTCTTCCTTTGTTGCAGAGCCAATAGCTGGAAACCCGAAAATCAGCAGCAGGCTAAAACATAACAACACAGAAAACTTGGCCATCTTTTCCACTCAGTTATGAGATATGTTTGGGCTTTATGTATCAGAAGTTATGTGTCCTAATATGGTCTGACTTATCATATGCTTTATAAGAGAGTTGTATGGGTGTGCAATGAAAATTTGAAACTGATAATATGGTATACAACAGCACTCTTCTTCTCAGTTTGCTCCTTCAATGATAGCCGGTTGTGTTGACAAGGTAAAGCGACAAGCGTGACAAGATTCTTGATTTCTCCAGCTAGGGCCCCCATGTATATATATATATATGTATATATGTATGGACCCATTTATTTCTAGATGGAGAGCGAGAGAGGTGTGTATACATAGTTATACACTAGATAGTTTCCCGAGTTACCACGGGTAGCTTTTTGGCAACTCGATCTAGCCTCACTGGTATGCAAGGTAGGTATTTATAAACATATGATAAATGTTATTTTTTAAATAATTTTTACTTAAATATGTATTAAAAAAATATTTTTAAAAATATTTTTTATATTAGTATATCAAAACAATATAAAAATATAAAATAAATAAAATAAATTTTATTTTTTTTAAAAAATACTTTTAAAACACAAGAATAAATAATATTTTAATTCCAACCTTGTTAGATTTTAAACTAATTTGACATCTTTTGAAAATGTATTTCAAAAAAAAAATGTCAATTGATTATTACTTAAAAGTATATTTTTATTAGGCTGATGAGACAGATGATGTGGCAGGGTACTGATGTGGCAGAACTGATGATGGGGCGATGACGTGGCAAGAACTGATAACGTGGCAGATGCCACGGATGCTCTGACATGTGATGACATGGCTAGGTTAATTATGTTTGCAGCTTTTGTTTTCTTGCTTCCCTAGCTTCTGTGAACTGTTGTCGCTGCTGTCGGTGATGGCACACAAAGCGGGGCTTCGTGACTCCGCTTGGGCCTAGTGGTGTGAGGGAAGAGGCGATGGTGTCTCTAGTGTCACTATTGGATAGGGGCCTGTTAATTCGTTGTCGCTGCTAAAGGTGAGGGCACTGTGAATGGTGGTGTTGCGGTTGGTGCTGCTGCTGGGGTGCGGCTGATGGTTAGCAAATTTGGAATCGAAGACAAAGAGCTGTTGTAGTGGCGGCGTTACGGGTTATTGAAGGCAATAAATCGGCGTGGACTTGTGATCGTTAGCTGTGATCGGCGTTGATGTAGAATGGTCGATTGTTTTGTGGGACTGATGTGCAAGTCTTCTTGGTGGTGGGTCTGCCATTCTGATTGCCTGAGGTGCCGCTAATGGCGAGGTGCCGCTACTAAGGATCGATAATGAACAGTGCCGATGAATAGTAATAAGAACAGTATGCTTTTTTTTTCCTTTTTTGTTAGATCAATCTAGGGTTAAACATAAACCCGTGGCTCATTTAATTGTAAGAACAATTAAAAGCCATGCTCTGATACCAAATTTGATGCGGAACAACAAACAAAAGAATTAAAGCCAGGAAAAGAAAGAAGTTTTTAGAGAAGAAGCTGAGAAGAGAAAGTAAAGAAAGAGAAGAAAGGCAATTGGACATATGCAAAGTTTGCAAATTTTTCATTAATTATCAAAAGTCCCTCTCAAAATGACAGAATAACATATAAATAGTAAACCCTAAAACATCCCGCTATTGGGCTCGACTTATCAAATCAAACTGTTTAACATAAATAAAACATATTTTAGTTAAGGAGTTATTGATACTTCAAGTGCAAAATGATGATATAAAACCATGATAAAAATGCACTTTTAAGTACTAATCACACCCCCCAACCAGCTTATTACTAGTCCCTAGTAATCAAAGCGTTAAAATAGAAAACAAATTTGCAAATTTCACAAAGCAAGGTATTCATCATTTAACTTCCATTAGTCTATCCAGATAAACAAACTCTCATTAAATTTATATATCTGCTCAATACCTCTTAACAAGATATTAATAAACCTTTCTTTTGTGCTCAATGTATCAACACATAATTATGGGGCTTTTCTTGGAAGAAAACAAAATTTTTGTTCTAATGTTTAAGGTTAACTTCCTTGGGTTGGGATTACTATTTTTGTCTTTTTTTTTTTTTTTAACTCTATATACATATACTTTAAAAACATCATGCATCTTTAACCCATGTAACGAGCTTTCAGCTAATGACTCCCAGACCAGTTGGTCTTAGGGCATTAGGTGTTAAGACACCCCTACGAGCTTAGTAACTCGGGTCGCAGATACTGATATGTAGATAGTGCAATGTTTGATTCCCTTAAGCTTTTCTCCTCAACCCATGTAACAAGCGTTGGGCCAATAGCTCCCAAGTCAGTTGACTTTAGGGTATTAGGTGTTAAAACACCCCTTCGGGCTTAATTGCTTAGGTTAGGGAGGCTACGAAATCAAACTTATCTACATTTTTATTATCATCATTTTTTTTTCTTTTTTTTCTTTTTTTTTTCTTTTTTTTTTTTTTTTTTTTTTTTTTTTTTTTTTTTTTTTTTTTTTTTTTTTTTTTTTTTCTTTTTAATTATATACAATCCCTTTCCCTTAGTTGTTACCTTTAACAAAAGAACATAAATAATGTAATAATCCAATATGCAACCCACAATCATATGTTAAAGTGTGTGTGTGTAAATTAAGGTTTAAGAATACATGTTAAATAAGTATATGAGCAGAATTAAGTGGTAACAATACGAGAGTTTGTAAACCTGAATATTTCAGGAAGTATTATAATAGACCTTGTTAAGAATGGTTACTAAGATGCGTCTCAAGAGTCACTTTAACAAAAGAACTCCTTTACTCTGCCATCCTAGTAACAACAATTATGCACATGCTTTATGAAATGAAAAATAAATTTTTTTTTTTATCAACTACTACCCTCTCCCCCCAACCAAAACGAGACATTGTCCTCAATGTTCTAAGGTAGAAAGATAGAGTATAGAAGATATCACCTGAAATAACGAACACTAACAAGCCTGAAACACACTTAAACAAATATAAGAAACAACAAAACATAATAATAAAAGCAAAAGACACAAAAATTCACAAATGAAGGCTCAAATCTAATCTAAGCTTTTTACGGCTTTTGTAGATAACCAATTTATGCGACTCATAAAGGTATCAATTACAGGAATACAAGCCTGTAGTTGGTCAATCAATTGTTTAGCAGTAGCAGCAAAGATTATGATTTGTCGTGTAGAAGATGTTAGAAATTCCTGTTCCACAGCATGATTAAGAAAAGACAACAACTTATCATAATAACCATTAACATTTAACAGACCTATGGGTTTATGGTGAATATTCAGTTGGGCCCAAGACGACATGTGAAAGATCTCTTCTAATATGCCTAGACCACTTGGTAAGGTGTTGCGATGTCACAATTGCACAAATTAATTACCCTATCTTAAAACACAACACACAAGATAGTATAGAGCAAGCAAGGGGTCAATCCCACGAGAAAGATTTTGTTTAGATTTTTATGCTATATGTTATGCAATTTAGAGAGGGTTTTGATTTGTGATGATCTAAATAATAGAATAAATTAAACTAACAAACAAAATCAATTGAAACCGAAATTTATCAAGAAAACAAGCACACATCCACCAACAAAAATTAGAACCGATCCTTGAAACAAAACTACAATTTATAT